CATTAATGAAAGTCGGTGATAAGGAAGGAGGGCGATAACATACACCAACAATGTACTTTTGGTGGCCTACTGTAAGTGAGCTAAATATTATTTCTAGATTGCTGAGCACGTGCACAGGCGAAGAAGGAATGTCTTTTGATATTGCCAACAAAACACCCCCTCCACGTCTTTCAGTGTGGTCGCAGCGATAAATTGAGAAGCGGGAGGAATTCAGAAAGAGTTCGGAATCACGCACATGCGCATTAAGCCAGGTTTCAGTTAGAGCGATTATATGGGCTGAACAAGTATCTATGGCGGAAGATAGAGAGTTATGTTTGTTAAGGATGCTTCTTATATTTGTAAAGAGAACAGATACATAAGATAAGATCGGTTGTCCACTGCCCCTCTCGTTTTCCTACAGCGAGGAACTCGAGGCAGGATTAGAAGAATGTCGTACACGTGCCGCTTGCGGCCGTATTTCTTGAACGGCATCGGTAACAGGGTCGTACATGTACTGTTTGTTACCGATTGACAACTTTTTATAGTGAAGTATGAAAAGTGGTGAGCCGGGTTGCCTTTTTCCAAATTCTATTAGCTTTTTCCGCGCTGTACGAGTGTTTGTTGAGAAGTCTTCGGTTGCCAAGATATTGCCTTCTTTGAGGCGATTGCGCATGGAAAGTAGTTTTTCTTTAGTCTTATAATTTGCAAATTTCGCTATAACTGGGCGACACTTATTAGGCGAGAAAGTATCCAGGCGGTGCACTCTTTCAATGTCGCCGGACGGGGGAGTATAATCCGAGGAGTTTAGTATGCCGATTAATTTGGATTCGGTTTGTTGCCATGTTTCTTTGGAATCAGTGATGCCATGAAAAATTATATTGTTCCGACGGGACCGATCTTCGATTTCGTCAAGGCGGGACTGTAGAAGGTTATTCCGGGAAGTTAGTTCTTCAATGGACTTTTGGGCTTCCGATAAACCCTCACTGAGCCTATCAACTTCTTTTAGTTGACTTTCAAATTCGTCAAGCCTATGTTCGATAGAATTCATTTTTGTTTCTATACTTGTCTTGCTTGCTCTAATTGAATTTATACCTTCCACTAGTTCCTCTTGAACCTTTGAACTATGCAGGATTGTGCACGGACATCTCTCAGAAGTTGGAAGATAACGATCATCTGTTCAGCCGGGTTTTCCGGTAACGATTCAACTTCCAAGGGGGTTTCCGAGTGAGCACTGCGGGTGGTGGGTCCAGGATTAGTTTCCACATCACCCGAGAGTAAGAGTGTTAACGCCATAGCATAACATTCGGACAATGACTCGCAAAACACCCGTGGGCACGGGAAGAGCACCAAAAAACGATCATCTGACTTTTTGGCATATAATGAAATTGGGCTACACACCTGCATTTCGGAAAAAACACGGGTGAGCGAGGCGCCGAAGGTGCTGCTCCCGTGCCCACTGAAGTGGGCGGTGGGGCGGCGTTCGTTTAAATACGGGCAGCTTGGTGATGTCGTTGCTGATGGGATAAGGTATCGGTCGTTGAGTTGTGGGCAGGCAGAGGGTTCCGTGAAGAATGTCTTGTCAAGATTTGGTGACGCCGGCTTGAATTCCAACCATGCGCAGTAGCTGCTCGGGCACAGTGCTATCGGCGATGGCTCGAGGCAGCATGCCGAACGGCAGGACGAAAGGGGTAGCCATGTCACGAAAATAGCAAGCAGGGCCTGCATCTCGGAAAAAACACGGGTGAGCGAGGCGCCGAAGGTGCTGCTCCCGTGCCCACTGAAGTGGGCGGTGGGGCGGCGTTCGTTTAAATACGGGCAGCTTGGTGATGTCGTTGCTGATGGGATGGGGTATCGGTCGTTGAGTTGTGGGCAGGCAGAGGGTTTCGTGAAGAATGTCTTGTCAAGATTTGGTGACGCCGGCTTGAATTCCAACCATGCGCAGTAGCTGCTCGGGCACACTGCTATCGGCGATGGCTCGAGGCAGCATGCCGAACGGCAGGACGAAAGGGGTAGCCATGTCACGAAAATAGCAAGCAGGGCCTGCATTTCGGAAAAAACACGGGTGAGCGAGGCGCCGAAGGTGCTGCTCCCGTGCCCACTCATATATATATCGAATTATTGCCAACATTGAACGGTTCCTATATCACGCGAGAAATCGCATGCATTATTGATTTTTTATTTCGAACAAAGTTTGATATATAATGGATATATCGAACTAAACCGCCCGCGCTCCATTGACAGGCGGCGAGCTTTCCCACAACTCTCGAAAGTAGCGGTAGAGCGGCGTGCGTTTACGAATGCTGCACACATCGATGGCGCCGAGAGCGGCCCTTTAACGTAGCGGCGTACACGCGCCGCAGCCTTGCGGTAGAGGTTCTTAAATGAGGAAAGAGAAGAGAAAAGCGCGGAACTGTTATCGTCTTTCAATACGAAGGTACCGACATGGCTTCGCGCGGGGGAAGGGGGAGTGGAAGGTAAAGATTAAGGAGGAAAGTATAGGAGGGAAAGGACGCAGACGACTGTCTCGGACGCGGCCCGCGCTGCCGCCGGGAAAGAGAAAGCAGTCAGGCGAGCCGGCATGGGCGCGCCATGTGCGCGCTTTACATCTAGACTCACGCCGCAGCCTTGCAGCTAGCAGTCGTTGCAGTCTCTAAGGTGTCAACGGCACACTGCGCACTTGTTGCAAGCTCTCCCCCATAGCATCAGCAGGCATCGGTCGTTGTGCTCGCAGTGTTCGTGCGTTCGGAGCTCACGGATGTGGAGATTGTCACCGAAGCTACTGCTGAGCAGCCAAATGAAGACTCTGCCGAGGTGGATCCCGCAAGCTCTGATGGTGCCCCGCTCCCGACATCAGCTGAGGTCGTAGCTGCCTTGGCCCTTGTGCGCCGCCACTGCGGCGCGATTGAAGGCATCGGCCTATTACTTATGGATCGCCTGGATTATATTGAGGACGCAGTCGTCAAACACGCCATGGCCAACAAAAAGCAGGCTACTCTTTTTCAATACTTTAAACAAACACAATAAAGACTATGTTTCAATCTTCAAGTGAGTATTTACTGCACCATGCTTGAACGGTTCGTTGGTTGTTTTCAGCAAGCTGTTGACGCATTTTTTTCGTGATTTTTTTTATATCGAATTCTGGATATATCAAACTATTTCGCGATCGCCGCGCCGTTCGATATATCGAGGTTTGACTGTAGTATAAATAGTTGTGTGATAAATCTGAAACCAGCTGAACATCCCCAGTTGTATGTCATGGAGACCCCAAAGGGTGCTCTGCAACATCATAGGCTGCACCCAGGCTGCAACCACCCAGCATGCGAGACTCCAGTGTGCACAGAACCAGTGTTTTAGAATACTGCCAATCCTGGCATTGGCAGGAAATTTGTGGCGAAGCCATGCAGCAACAAGACTCGTGCAGCAGAGCAAGAGCTAGTTACATTCAATTCGATTTCCTCAGGATATCACGGTGACCTTGTAATGAACCTAAGCCTGACGCGGCACCCGTTCGCTGTATCCCAAAGTTCGTAGTAAATAAAACACAGCTTTTAAAAAAAGTTGCGAGTGAAAACACAAACTTTTTTTTTGCCCAAAAAAGTCCGTGATGCACGTGTTTCGAAGAACAGAAGCGATAAAGGCAGTGGGAGGGCGACCTTGAAAACCAAAACACGCGGGAAGCAGGCAGGTCGGGTAGCTTGCTTAAAAGGTTCGTGAAACGCGCAACTCGCGCGTAGAAAAACTTGAAACAGTGCCCGCGCGTGCAGACGTCAATGCACGGCGGCCTGGATTAGCGTGCGCGGCAGTATTCAAAGAATCGGTGGCCGTGGTAAAAAAATTGTTATGTAGCCCCAGCGTGTTCGCGTGGCCTCACCGATTTCGATATTTCGCGATTCGTTTCACGATCACGCGGATATTGTTCGTTCTAAGCGAAAGTTTGTTTTAAGTGTGGCCATTATATGTGGGCTCGACTGAAAAACACTTTTGGTTTCGATATTGAGAGGGTGTTTTCCTGTGACGTCATGGGGTGACAGCAGCTCACGAAGTACTGGCCGCAGATGTGTCATCTCGTCATGATGTCCACTGTCGCCCAATGACCCCGACAGCGACTTTTGCGATTTTTGCTGCATGCAGGATGCAGAATTTTCCAAAGCAGTGGAACTGTCTTGACTCACTGGGATAATGTCCATTGTGGTGTGTCTGGTTTATTGATGTTCAGCGACGAAAGATTTAAAATAAAAGTAAAATATTTTACATATTTGTCTGACTATAACGTATGAACTGCTTTAACACTTAATACCAAGCAGACGTTAAATGTGCCTTTTGCAATGTCTCGAAACTGTGTCAGTACTCCTTTCATGCGCTAGAGTTGGCTGGAGACTCTCCAAACGTACCCTCCCTCAATCATAAACCATTCTTTCATGGCTCCAAAATTTCGGTCACAAGGTGGGCCAGCTTTCGACATATAGGAATACTAAGTAGGTGCCAGCAAGGACTTTCAGTGAGTATGAAATTAAGAAATATCTTTCTTATTTGTTAAGTGCTGTCCACTTATCTGGCAGCAAAGTTTCATCGAAATTCGATAACTTTGAAATGATGCGCGAGATGCTCCTTCGATGCCAACAAAATTTCAGTGTAGGTGAGTAACTTTTTTGCGACGCTCACAATGAGCTCAGGCAATCAATATACGCCACCAGTGTGATCTACCAAGACCATTTTTTCTTTGTGCTGCCATATTAATAATATTATTATGTGAGATTTAACATCCCAAAATCAACACATGATTATGAGAGACACCATAGTGGAGGGCTCCAGAAGTTTTGACCTTCTGGGATTTTTTAACGTCCACCCCAATCTAAACACACACGGGCCTACAGCCTTTTCATCCATTGAAAATGCAGCCGCCGCAGCCAAGATTCAATCCCGCGACCAGCGGGTCAGCAGTCAAGTTCCTTTGCCACTAGACCACCACGGCAAGGCTCTTTTTGCTGCCAAAACTTGTGTAATGCAGATTCAGAGCTCACCGAAAGTGGATGAACCCAACGGGTGAGTTGTCTTCTTCCAGGTGTGCCACCAGGTACCAGGCATCCCGGTGGCCCAGCTCTTTGCGCTTGGCGTTCTCGCTCCAGCCCCACTGGCTGGCCTCGTAGAGTTCGCGCATGTTCTTCGACACCAGGTCAAAGGCCCACTCACGAAGATCGTTGGGAGCCGCTGTGGCGCGGACGCAGCTCACTCGTACCTGCAGTCCCCATACAAAGTGCACTAACGTTTGGTCAAGGCTCAAAAATCCAAGGAACATATGGGAAACAGCTTCAACAAAGATAAACGGAGATTATTGGGAGATGAATTCATCTTGTAGTGGAGATAAAGATGAGCTCAGAATGATGATGTGAACAAAGGAGAACTATGTAGCTCTTTAAACAACCTAAACATTGAATCTGAGAAGTGCTACAGATTTCTGCAGTATAACAGACTGTACATGAGGTGTTTCGATGATGTCAAGTCATATTGACAGGCCAGAAATGCGATAAACAGGTAATTGAACATTTGATTTCCTCAAGAAATAACCAACTTCCTGCATTAAAAACCCACAAGTGAAGCCACTCTGGGCTGACTTAGTAATTTTAGTTAGAGTCACTTTAAAAGGACCGACAACAGGCCAGAAATTGGGACTAGATACCGGTGCAAATGAAAAGATAGAGAATATGGTGGCAGATTGAAGCACCCACTTCACAATTGGAATAGGATTTATGAAGAGCAAGGGTCTCAAACTCTTCTCAGGCAGCGGGTTGCAGTTGCAGAATTTAGTCCCGCAAGGGCTCAGTCAGCATGAATGTAAAAGCAGGCGGGCGGGTGGTTAGTTCGTACACATTGTCAGCAAACACTCACGTCCACAGAAAAAAAGCCTTTCCCATATCTTTTACAATATGAGTCATTTCTGAAAAAAAAAAAGGAGGGGGAGATCTAAACACTTTGTGGATAACCAGTGAAGCTGAAATCTGCAGCCACAGGCGATTGCAGATGTCGCAGCTGATGCCACTTTAGAAGCTCTAGCCGAAAGTGGGCATCGACCCAAGCGAACGCATTTGTGTCATTGCCTTATTGATGCTGCTTTGCTTACAAACCCGCTTCCTCAGCTTGCCGTAATCGCTTGGGATGCCCGGTGCGCAGTTGCTGCTTGCACTTCGCCACCCGAGCCTGTTCTTGTGCACAGGCTGCCGCATCGGCCCAGCGAACATGAATGCTCTCGCGGAAGAGCTGTCAGCGCTGTTCCTAGAAAGTTTTCTGCTGTTCGGACGTTCGTACGATCTATGCCCTCCCAATGTGCAAGTTGTGTGTGTAACCTTTCTGCAACGCTGAACCCTTTACGTGCCTGTGAGCCCGTCACGTGATGTTTGTTTAAATCCCTCTTTTACTTATTGACCTGCTTGATGGCTTTCCTTGGCTGAGAGGCAACTGGCATGCGAGCAAACAGGGCAAGGCCGAATTACCTCGTTTTCTATAAACTCTTCCCGTTCTCTCTTACATTATTTTTCTGCCACTTACCATGGCTGTACATCGCTATTGAGGTGACCTCGCTGACAGGCAGCACTGCACCTCTTTCTTAATTCAGAAATCACTCCGTTGAAATTGTTGCGCGTAGGCTTGGAGCGCTGAGATGAAGGACATTGCTGATGCTTGCAATGACGTGTGCGCTTTGGTGCGACGAACAGAAGACGTAACTCACAGGGCAGCCAGTGGAGATGCTCAGTGTTTTGTGTGGCAAATGGTTTGTCGTTCCACCGGCCCATGTACAGCTTTCGATGTGAAAGATTCGGAGTCAGGATTCCATCGAATAACATGTGAATAACAAGCTCCGAAATGAGTATAACCTGGACTCCAATTCTAACACACTGTTTTGTTTCACGGTAAGATTTCAGGCCCATGGTGCCCACATGGGCATCCTCACAAGCACAACGCTTTAGAGCAGTCAAGCCTATGTAGCTCAAGAAAACAATTCTCACGAAAATTTTAAAACTATTGGATGAATAAAGTGATGTACAGGTTAATTTCTCACGACTAAGTTTTAAACAGTGCAACAGAAAACTCACCCCTTTGTTCTGTTTGTAGCTGAAAATTATTATAGTCCCAGAAACCTATAGTAATTTTATAAGCAGTATTTTTCTATCTGAAAGGCTCTAAACACGTGCGTATGCTTTTTCCAGCAATACTGAGAACTGATAGCGATAGCCCTTCTAGCGATTTGTGAACCATGTTGTTCTGCACTTTTTGACAAACGGCATACTTCAGCAGCAGGTCTTGCTGAGGCACCAGGCAAACGAGGTGACATCAACCCTGATATATATTATTCCAGTTTTTTCTTTCTGCAATTACAGGCTGACGTTGTGTTATAAGAGTTCATTAAGCATGGTACGGATACCACAACAAATCTTGTTAAACTTAATGTAAACACAAGTGTTCGACTCACCAGGCACAAAAAAGTTTGGACTGTACCCACCCCAAGAACTATTTATTATGAACATTCATTGTCCTACAAGCTACCTTCTCTGTTAAACTTTTTAGGCCGCGAAGATTTTGATCCTTAGTCCAAACAAAACCGTCATATTAAACACTCCGCCTGGCTGATATATTTTCCTGAGTAATACATCTCTCAGAATTTCTGGCCATTCTTTTCTTTCTATTGTTGCTTTTTCATCAACTATTATCTTTTTATTTTCAGCACTTTGATCCATAAATTTTTGTATTACTTTTTACGATATTATATGTATAACTTATTTGATATTCTTTATGCACGATTGTCGGCCATTCCTGCTGCTTTGCTGACTTGTAAACGGGCTCAGGACCTTGTCAAGCTCTTGAGCTATTAGTCCTGTACTCCTCCTAATCAAAAGAAAATAAAATGATTAATTGATTGATTGATATACCATGTTATCTGCAAGGGAAGCCCTGCTAAAGCGTGCCCTCCTCGACTAGCTCCAGTAACAACCTTTCATGAGCATTTTGCAGAGGACATAGCTGAAGGGACGAGAGATGCTTGTTCACATAGCGCTCGACTGCTTCTCGTTATACTATTGTAATCTAGCCGCAAAACTTTCAGTTTCACTACACCTACTTGAGCCTTCGTTACACAAAGAACGCTCTCGTAGTTCGAATCAGTGAGTGGCGGGACCCTTCAGAAAGAATGAAGCACGGCTCTCTTAAAGGAACCGAAGATGATGTACGTTTCTACGCCCACACTTTTGGCGCTCTTGCGTAAGCGGAGCAAGACAAAGTTTTCTTTCTCATATTGTAAAACTCGTGCTGCAATTACCATAGCAAATATTATGACAATGTTGACAATAATGTTGGTCGTCGCTAAGCATAAAGTTTTATAGAATTCTAAGACTAGATTTACTTACCCTTAATAATAAAGGCAAGAACACTGTCACGAAAGGTTGTATTTCGTTTTTCCTCTTTATTGCACACAATGTTAGCAACCATGCCAAACAGGAGTTGCTTAATCGGACACAAGTACGGGATTTAAAAAAAATCAATACAAACAGAGAAGACACCGTAATGTAAAACAAAAGAAGTCAAAAGCACAAACAAAATTCTAGCATTTGATACACACACTACAGCCCCACTCAGCCAAATACCAGTGAGCAAGCGAGTGCATTTAGACATACAGTAAAAGCTAGATAATTTGGATTTCATGGGGCCAGAAAAAATGACTGAAATAACGTGTGGAATTATCGGAAGTATCAAGAAAAGAATAAACGAATGCCTGTTACATTAATACACTTTTAATTTGTCGATCAGTACATAAATTATGTACTTATTTTGCATAACAGCAGTGCCAAAGCCGCGTTTTTTCTTGGGTGTTCATGACTGTTTTCAGTGCAACTTTAGCACCAGACTCCTGAACTGACTTGGCCTTCTCATGCCCTGCACACCTTGCTTGCTAACACCACCACTGTGTGCAAGTCACAATAGTTCTTTTATATTATAGATAAAATGGTTGGAAACTGATGGTTCGTCCATCGCGATGTAGCAAACGAAATGTATGCCAGCATGGCAACCGCAGCTCTTCACCTTTAACAGCTTCCACCATGTCAGCGTTATGACATTTCTTCTGCATTCTATTAAGTTCAAACGAAGCTTTGTAGTTCCCGATCCACTGTGCACAAAAGTTTGACCACTAACTAATAATTATACACACGCTGACAGAACCATTTTTTTCTCTGTTATGTGCAAACGCCACTTTAGCTCTTTTGCGTCACATTTTTGCAGCATTTCGCACTCGGCGCACCCCAAGAATCATCCAAATTAACCGATTACGGCCAGATATGACCAAATTATAATAAGATTTTGATGCCATTAAACAATGTGTGAAGAGGTTTATTGGTTGTCCAAGGACGTTATAGTTGTCAGCGGCGAGACTGTGTGAAGAACCGTCCAGAGGCACAGCAGCGATCTGAAACTTTAGCCGAGCGAGTCGTGCATTGGCGATGCTGTTGAATGGAGGCGCATCTTCACAATCGTCCCCGCTGAAAAAGGAGTTATCTTGGCGACGTAAGATCAAGAAAAGGGCTCGATAAAAAAATTAACCAGAGAAGTTTTCTCCAAAATAGTGTAAGGCCGCTCATGCCTGAGAACAAGCTTCGAGGAAAGTTCTGGAGTTTAGTATGGCACAGATAGCTACACAAGAGCCTAGTGCATAGCTAGGATGTGGAAGTGACGTGCTGCGGTGTTTTTTCTGGCATTGCTGCTCTTGTGAGGCAAACGTATGGGCAAGCTCGCAACGCTCATCGGCTTGTCGAGCAGCTTTGGAAACAGGTGCACAGTCGGAAGCATGAGGACAGGAGGGAAGTACAGTGTCGATAGTATGTGAAGAGTACAGGTCGGTAAAAAATAAAGCAAGGCAAAAAAAAAAAAATGGCTGCATATCCACGGAGTGAATGTTGATGAGTGGGGCGAAGCGTCCACCCGTCTGTCTGTCCATCCGTTCGTGCTTTTGTCCATGCTTCTGTCCGTCGCCTTTCCGTGTGTCCATCCCTCTGTCCATCCATCTCTCGGTCTGTTTGTTTGTCTGTCTTCTATCTGTTTGTCTAATACTGCCGATTACGCTTGACACAGGACAAGGTTAGACTAAGAGGAGCTTCGCCCCTAAAATCTAATAGTTGCTTCTATCACAGTGTTGCATGTGAATGTTACATAGGGGAGAACAGGGTCCCAGTTGCTATGGTTAGATGCCACATA